CGTCGCGCGAGCGCGATGGGCCGGGAGGCTCTCCGCGAGGCTTCGGGGCGGAGGCGGAGCCAGGGACTACGCTAAGGTCGGCACGCACGATATGGGTACAGAAAGAATGGGTACAATGCCCCACAGACGTTCCTGTTCATTTTGAACAGGACTCGCTGTCCGTGCCGTCGCGGCCTGTGTCCATTTGAGACAGAAGGCCACCTGCCCAACAGCGGCCGCTGGTGGTTTGGGACAGCATCTGCACCCATCTTTTCAGTATCCATTTCGGGCGTCCAAATAGGGGGGAGGGGGGGACAGGCTGAGGGGGGAACGCACCGACCCTCGATCAACATTCATCGCCGATGGGGGCCCGATAGCTCAACCCGCCTGGGAACGTCCGGTTCCGCTGTCAGGAGCCCATCGCCGATCTATCGGCGATGTATCGGAGGGGCTCGGACGAGGATGAGTCCGTTCCAGAGCGTTCTGGGACGCCCTCAGAGCGTTCCGGACCGCTCTGAGAGGGCCGCGACGCCCGAGACATCCTCCAGAGCCGCCGGATCTCAGAGATCACCCTCGACCTCCACCTTCCGAACCTTCCTCGCAGCAGTTGCCGCCGCGGCGCGGCCGCGGCGACCGCCGAGACCGCCCCTGCGGCCTCGACGGCGGCCGCATCTGCGGCCACGCTGGCGGCGCCCGCAGCGCGGCGTCTGGCGCCAGGCAGGTGCGGAAGGTGGAGGTTGAGGGTATCCTCACCCGATTTGAGCCTCGCCCTGGCTCCGCCTCACTATCGGCGATGTATCGCCGATGGCCAGCCGAGGCCTTCCCCTTACGTATGTCGAGCTGGTACCACTCTGCGGTCCTCCGCAGAGGAGGGCCGCCGCTCGGGGTGCTGCTTCTGCTGCCAGCCTGACGTTGCCAGCGTCTTCGATCGTGGAGATCCTGCTTGTTTTGCCTCTTGCTCAGAGGAGGAAGAGGTACCCCTGCCGCTCCCCTTTGCTCGGTTCCCCTTGTGGGGACTCCTAGGAGGCCCTCGTCGCCGCCGCTGGCTTCGCCTCGCAATTCCTCTCAGAGCGCACCCCAGGAGAGCTCCAGGGAGTAGCGGTATCGGCACCTGTTGGTTTCCCCATTTGCTGCGGTGCGAGCTTGGGGTATAACCCTTCGACCCATCGCGCGGTCTTTTCCGATTGGCCGGAGGCCCGGACAGCTCGCATTACAGTGAGCGAAGCGCTCTTCAAGACTTGACTCGCATGGCCAGGACGGTGGGAGGAGGGAGGGAGAAGGGAGGAGGGATCAGGGAGGGAGAGAAGGATCTCCTAATCCTCCTCCTCCTCCTCCTCCTCCTCCTCCTCCTCCTCCTCTTCATTCTCCTCTCCTCTCCCTCCCCCTCATCGTTTTCCTCCTCATTCTCCTCCCGTCCCGGGATGCGTTCCAGCAGCTGCGTCTCGGCGAGAGCGCTCCGGGGATGCCCGCACCCTCGCGAACGGCCGCTGGAGCTGCGAGGTATGGCCCGAGAGCCAGGCGGTCTCTCGCCAGGGGTGGCCTCTGGGGTGCGCGGCTTTAAGTGGGCGCCGGGGGGCCAGGCCCAAGGCACGCAGGCCGCTGCTGCCAGGTCGAAGGCAACGATCGGCAAGCCGCGCACCACGGGCACGGTTGCTCTTGCCCAGGGCCATGTGTTGCGTGTCACGCGTGGCGGACGGAGAGTCCAGAAGAGAAGCGAGAGGAAGAATGCGGGCTAGCCATCCGGCGGCCTGATTCTTGCCTGTCAATCCCGCTGGTGTTCGTCGAGTTCGAGGTCGGGGTGTAATTCTGGGGCGCCAGGACCATCACTAATGCATGCAGAAATGAACTTCCAGGGCCGCGGATCGAAACACACACACAGACACACACACACACACCACACACACACACACCACACACACACCAAACACACACATACACACACATCGACGGACGAACGGGAAGCAGGGGGAGAAGGAGAAGGAGGAGGAAGGCGGAGGAGTCAGGAGGCGGAGGACCATGTTGATGAGGTCCAGGCTTGCACGGTTTTTCCTGCATCCCGAGGGATCACCTGTCCCGTGCGCACCAGCTCGTGGACCGCGGTCGAGCTTCTGTCAAAAAAGCCCAGCTAGTCGGCCACGCTCCGTGCTTGCCGGGCTCCCCCGTCTGCCGGGCCCCGCGGTAACGCCATCGGAGCGCGCCGGGCTCTCTGTCTCGGCCAGCCCCCAGAGAGCCTGGAGGCCTGTGCCAACGGGCGGGCGGGGAGGGCAGAGAGGAGGCGGGTGGAGGAGGAGCCAGGCGGGGCCGCAGCAGGGATGTAGTGCAGGAGGGAGGACGATGAGGGGGGAAGAGGGACGAGGAGCAGGCGGGAGGAGGACGGGAAGGTTGAGGAAGAGGTGGAAGATGATGGGACGGAGGATGGGGAGGAGGAGGAAGCAGGATGACGAAGAGGAGGGAGGGTGGGGATGGGAAGGAATGGGGAAGGATGGAGAAGGAAGTTGGGCGATGGAGGGAGGGGGAGGAGGAAGAGGATGAGGATGAGGATGAGGATGAGGATGAGGATGAGGATGAGGATGAGGATGAGGATGAGGATGAGGATGAGGATGATGAGGATGATGATGATGATGATGATGATGATGATGATGATGATGATGATGATGATGAGGATGATGAGAGGAGGAGGAGGAGGAGGAGGAGGAGGAGTCCAGGAGGAGCAGGAGGAGCAGGAGGAGGAGGAGGAGGAGGAGGAATAATAATAGATTTAGGAGGATTGTGGAGAATCAGGGGGGGGATGGAGGGTTGAGGACGGAGGAGGATTGAGGATGAGGAGGAGGGCGAAAACGCTTTCAGTCGGGAGCCTCGAGACGGCGGTCACTGCAAACGGGGGCCAGGGGCGCACTGCCCCCGGTCTGGGTGCAGAGCCTGCAGGATCTTGCAGAGTCTCGCAGGATCCTGCAAGGCCTGGCTGAGACAGGTCGGGATTGACCCGGGCCAGGAGATCCCCGATTTCAGGGGTTCCCCCCTCCCCTCCGGGGCCCGTTGCCTTCACGCCGATCGATGGTCCCCAGGGCGTGCGTGTCAGCCTGGCGCGTGTCTGCGGTCAAGGATTTGGGTTTTTGCTCAGCGTGTCGCGCCACCTGCTCTGGCGCACCACGCTTCGGCGCGGCGCGCTGCCCACTCCCCAATCCCCAAGCGTCCTTGCCCCGAGTCTTTCCCAGCCTCCCGCCCCGAGGAGCGGAGCGACACGCTATCCGCTCGCAGGGCACAGCGTGTCGCCGGGGCCACCACCATGACACGCCAAGCAAAGCCGCCCGACCGCACTCCGCTTGGCTCCACCCAGAGCGCACAGCCTGTGTCGGCCCTCGCTGCAACAGTTGTGTCCGTGCTGACGGGCCTCTCGGTGGACGAGCACACCTTGACGCGCACACTCGAAGGAGGCACAACAACGCAAGCGTATCATGTCGGAGGTCCGCGCGAAGTCCTTGGATCGGCGCTGGACCGCCCGTCCTGGCGCCCCAAGCGCGCCAGGGGCGGCGCCGGAAGCGCCGACAGGGGGGTCCAGCGCCGACCAATGAAATCCGCGCGGACGTCCTAAGTATATGTTCATGCCTTTGTTGCTCCTCCCTCCAAGCACTCGCTCTGAGGAAGATCGAGCCGAGCGCGCGTTCCTCCCTCCAAACACACGCTCTGAGGAAAACGGGGCCGAGCGCGAGAGCGAGCCCTATACGTACCTAGATCGGGCGACCCGCCTCCCAAGAGATCCGACGTCCTTTTTTTTGGTTTGTCCAAAGCGGGGTCCACAGACAACTCGTCCGTCTCTCCAGGTCCCTGCTTTCTATCCCGGGTGGTCTTTGGACCGTCCAGGGACTCGGCGAGGGCCCCCAGGTGACGAACACGGCGAACACTTTTTGTCTCGATTCTGCTTCCAGCACCCGGCGGCGTGCGCAAAGGGGCGGCACGAGGGGTGGGCCTTTCAATGTTGGGCGAATCTGATGCTAGTGAAATGTTTGACGGACTCCAGGTGGGCCCGTGGCTGGGGCGTGGGTCGCTCGGGCTTCCCTGTCAAGCAACAGCCCATCCTTGTCGGCATACACCTGCTGGAGCGACGTTCCCCTGGCTGCTGCAGCCACGCTCCCTCGCAGAAGTCGGGGTGCTGGAGCCCACCCGCCTTGTCGGCATAAGCAGCTGGAGCACGCTCCCTCGTAACACTGGGCGCTGGAATCTCACCCCTCTCAGGGCTTCGACAATACGGATCGAGCGGGGGAGAGAGGGGGATGGGATGGGGCCCAGGGGCGGGGTCCTAGCAGTGTAGTCACGCCTCGCTCTCAAACGGGGCTAGTTTGCGCGATAGTGCGTGCGCGTGCGCTTGCGCGTGATCGTGCGTGCGCGTGTGCATGTAACATTCGCCTGTGCCCCAGCGTAGCCCGCCCGCAACTCGGATCCGAAACGCCGCCGGCAAAAACAGTGTGCGTGCGCGTGCACGTTCGCGTGCGCTTCCAAGATGCGAACATGCGATCAAACATGTCACTACCAACAATATATGCCTGACTGTAGGACTGGGCATATTTCGGACGTGCGCATTTTTTCGCGGGACCACCGAGGAGCATCCTGGACCATCTTGCGAAAGATCAGCGCGCGCGAACGCGAGCAATGCACGGGGGATGGACGTCCCAGCGATGGTAAGAAGAAGGCAGAGGGGGCTGTTTAGAAGGCAGTTCCTTCCCACGAAAGCCCAGAGCTTTTTTAACACCTCCAGGTGCTTGTAGGACGGCCCCTGCCTTCTAAGAAGCCCCCGATACCTTCTTAGAAGGCCCCGCCCTCTTCCGCAACATCCCTTTGTGCGCGCCGCCAAGGCACGTTGGATGTCTGCCCCTTCCCGTGGCATCGCAAGGACGTGTGCAGCTCTCCTCGGCGAGGGCCATCGAGGAGCCTTCTGTGCCACCTCGCGAGAAAATGCCGCGCACGACGCCGAAGCATGTACGCGCAATGGACGTCCGAGCGATGGCGAGTCCCCCCCCGCCGAGGCTGCACTACGCCAGCCAGCGGGGCCAGTCGGCGGACGAGCGGCTCCGCTCGCTGTCGGTGCGGCTGCGGAACTTCAATTCCTTCGCGAAGGCGGTGCTGCTGGAGCGGCACCTCGGGGAGGTCCCCGGATGGGCTGCCGGCCGTGCACGAGGAGGAGGAGGAGGAGGAGGAGGAGGAGGAGGAGGAAGCGGAGGAGCAGTATCCAGGTTTGAATTTCGAGGTTCGCTGTTTCTAGACGTCCCTGGCATTCCAGCGTAGGGAGACAAAAAGGACACCAAACAATGACGCGGGAAGAAAACACGGCCCTGGGGAAAGGGTCTGGTTGCCCCAGGTCGATGTGAATTTGCAGCCCAGATCTGCGCCGAGATGATTTTCTTCGAGTCCTGCATTCCTCTGGATCTCGGCTTCGGGGGCCTGGGCCCCGGGAACATGGGAAAGCAGATTTGGGGCGAAGAGTTGTCCCCACGGAAGGGGTCGGGAGTCCTGGGGCCGCGGATGAAAAACAACATCGTCTCGGAGGGTGTCTGGGCTCGAGGTTCGGCACGTCAGTTGTCTCGTCGTTGCCTCTGGGAGGCTTCTTGTCGCTACGGCTGGCCAAGGCCCGCTTCCCGAAAGGTCAGGGCGGCAGCCTCTTGAATGGGAGAAGGAGGAGAGGGAGTAGGAGAGAGGGGACGGTGGGGCGGGGGCACGAGTGCGGACGCCGTGCTCTGTCGAGAAGGAGGCCTCACTCCACAGCGCGGAATGGAAGGAAGCAGGAGGAAGGGGCAGGGAGGGGGACGGAGGGAGGAGGAGGAACACGAGGAGGGCGGAAGAGGGAGGGACGGGCAGGGAGGGGAGGGAGGAAGAGGCAGGAGAGAAGGGGCTGGCATCTCTTGGCAGGAGGGTGTCTGACCTGCCGCGCACGGCGTGCACCACGCCTGCCGCTGGGCGGTGGCCGGCTGCCCCCGCCTGGGGCTAAGTCGTGCCCGTCCCTCTACAGGAGGAAAGTTCAAAAATAGTCAAAACATAGTCTGGAGACGATTTTTACAGTATGTATTTTTTGACCATTTCATTTGGGAGTATGTTCGGTGTATTCTTTCTTCTTCGTCGAAAACCCCCTTGCTAGGGGGACACGCCCGACCTAAGCCTGGGGCGCGTGGGCGGCGCACCGCGTGCGACCGCTGCCTCGCTGTCCGTGTGAATGGAACCCGTGTAATACCCTCATATATACTTCTTATCCTTACCTCTCCTGCGCCTGGCCGTTTGGGCTCAGGTATTGAGATAGATCGATCAGACCTTGATCGTGCGGGAGGGAAAGATATCCATCTATCCCTCCTCCTCTCTACCAACGGATCAGGGGTTCTGTACCCTTGTACTTCAACCCCATACACAGGTTATCAGCCCTTTCAAGCTCACCCTCACCGACTCGTCCGCGGTGACCTCGCATGCGAGCCTGATGGAGCCACTTCGGCGCATGCGCCACAAGGGTTCCATCGGGGCCTCGCGTCCGAGCTCTCCCACGGCACGACGGCTCGGTGACGAGTTGGAGAGCATTAGTGCGGACTGTGTTGGTGTTCCTGATACCCCCCCCCCCCCCAGCTCCGAAGGACCCGAGGCGCGACTAGCTGCTGAACTTCACCGCAGCGCCGCCCGCGGGGGGACAGGAGAAGGAGCAGGAACAGGAAGGAAGGAGTTTCACACGCCGACCTTCGATCCTCCCTCCCCTTCCCCGTCGGGAGCAATCCCAACCGCGTCAGGCGAAAGCCTTACTGGTCTCGATACTCCAGGGCGCTTTCGCGCTAACCGCCGATGGACCTCAGGCGCTGGGACCCCCAGCCCTGCGACCGTCCCTGTGGCGGAGCACGTAGCCACCTTCGAGGAACTCAGTAGACCAGTGTCGGCACAGAAACAGGGAAGCTGACGCTCCCCACCTCTCCATCTCAGACGACCAGCTGGCGGAAACGTCCGCCGCAGGTGACATAGCTGAGCTCAGAGACCAGGTTGAAACCTTCGTGTCCAGGCAATACTCTGGACTACTACAGAGCGTTCAGACGAACGCCACCGATACTGCAGCCATACGCCGCGATCTTGACGGCGCCTTAGGGATCATCGATTCCAGGATCGCCGAAGATCGAGGCATCATAGGAGAACTGCAGTACCACGTTAACCGTGAGGTGTCACACTCAGGTGAACGAACGGCGATGGTCGAGAACCTGCGCAGCTACCTCGCGCAGATGGAGCAACAGCTTGTGCTCGTACGCGACACAGGCGTTTCAGCAGTCAGGACTTTACATGATGAGATCCACGACCAGCTCCGCAACCGACCAACCCCAGCCGAGGCCACAGACCTTGGCGATGTTCAGTCTCAGATCAATGATCTTCGATCTTATCTAGACCACACTACGGCGACGCTTCGCACCGAAGCACACACCAACTCGTCGAACCTGATCGACATGTTGCAGCGTACTGAGAGAGTCATCGCTCAAAGGCTTGATGCGACCAACGCTGTCGTGCAGCCACTCGCTAACCGGATCTCTGACATCGAGCAGCGTTTCCCTGGTGTACAGGACGCCCTGGCAGAGTTGCGTGTCGGACGAGCCCAGACTGGCCAGCTGGATTCTCCTCCCACGGTTTACGATTTCGCCCGCCTCACTGACAGGTTGCAGGAGGTTCGGAAGGCGGCGGACCACACGCAGTTGGAGCTCTCCCAGGTTATTCATGATAGAGATACCGAGAAGGTACGTGTAGAGAGTCACCTCGCACGTCTGGAAAGCGAGATGGAGGCACAAAGCGCCCGTCTCCGAGCATACGAGCAACGACTTGATCGGTATTCACAACGTTCTCGGGATACTGATGAGTATACACGCCAAAAGGTGGGTCAAATACACGAAGACATGACGAGCTGGGCGAATCAGCTGATCGACCACGCCAACGACGCCAACCTCCACCTTCGACCTGCAGCCGACCTGCACAGGCCGACGGCAGCGTCCGCCGAAGCACAGCAAGCTTCTGCAGGACAACAACGACGTACATCACCAGGAGCAGCCTCCGCGGCAGCTTCTGCACAGACACGTCATGTGTCTCCTGTGCGCACAGACCCAACTAACGACGGTGCACCGATACCCTCACAACCATTGTCTGCGGTGTCGGTCCATACAACGACTCCTATCAAGGAGTCAGACACCGTCCGACTCCCTGTCTTGCCTAAGATCACGCAGCTGCTTGAGTGGCAACAAAAAGTGCGGAAGAACTTCGGGGCCGCCTCAGGGCGACCATCCAAAGCATATGCCTTCCTATGCGTGGCTGAACAGCCCGAATGTACACTCGAGGACTTACAAGACAGTGGAGACTTTGAGAGTATCGATTGCAAACTCGCTACCGCTCTGAGCGACATCTGATCCTCAGACTTACGCTACCAAATCAGGCTCATCGAGACCAGAGAGCACAAAGCAGGACGCATGCTCAAAGGACGCCAGATCTACTGGCACATCCGTCAGTCCTACAAAGTGACAGGGGTTGACGACGACCTGCGCGATTTCGAGCGCCTTAAAGAACTGAGGATGAGAGATGACGATTTGCAACGTTTCATTACCGATTGGGACGCCTTACTCTTGGAATGCCGAGAAGCACCCGATCCAAAGATATTGGAATCGCTGTTTCGTACACAGATTCGCAGACATGTATGGATGAAACAAGACATGTACGAGTACCAGCGCATGAAGATGAGCGACCCGAATCGTACCTATGGTTGGCTTCGACAGCGTGTCCTGGACATACCGGAGATTAAACAATTGGAGAAGAATCAAAACAAGTTACGGTACGAACATGAGACGCGATCTCAAGTCAACGTGTGCGCTGCATGGAAGAAAGGCAATTGTCGCAATGGTGAACGGCGCAAGGCTTTGCATACATATTCCAGGGATTGGAAGAACAACAAATCTTCCAGAACATCAACGGCTGGTCAACCCCCGCCGTAGTATGTCCACTCCTGCGAGCCACAAGAAGCCAGCATCGAAACCATTTTGCTTCGATTTCGCCAAGCGCAACACATGTACCAGAGGTGATAAGTGTAACTTCCCACACGTCGCACAGTGCAAAGATTTCGCACAAAGCAAGTGCACAAACGGCGACACATGCAAATACGCTCATCTTGCACCTGGTGCAAAGACTCCTGAACGACGTCCGAGTCGACCACGGACCTCCAGCCAGGATAGCCGTGGCCGATCACCATCCCGCGGATCAGGAAGCCAACGGTCTTCACAACGCGGGGGGGGTCGCTATGCAAACGACTCACGACATGGACGTGACAACCGACGCCAATACGACCGATCTCGTTCAACATCCAGGAGGTCCCTGGACTCTCGCAGTCAATCGAGAAGTCGTTACGACAGATCTTCGAGATCTACCTCCCGAGGACGAGACAATCGCGGCGGCGGACGCGGCAGTCCACGCGGCCGTGATAGATCATATTGTAGTGACAAAGGACGTGGCAAACGTTATCCGAGCCGTGGTTCGCCCCGTGGTTCACCCAACACCAGAGCACGTTCTCCTGCCAACTTTCGACGTTCACGCCGTTCAGACCGCAGTTACGTCATCCGTGACAAGACCCTCATGGCCAACACTAAGGCCACAGCGACATCTACCAAGACACGTCGTCGGATACGCTTCGACGTGCGCAACGTGGATTACTATTTCCATACCATATCTGGCAGAGCCAGACTGGATAAATGGAAAGAGCTGCCGAATGAGGGTGACATCGTCAAAGTGCCAGACCCGTTACCACAACGATGGCGGGATCAAAGTGCAGATGCCTTACGAGAATGTCAAAAAGAGGCACAACTATGGTACGACGACCTACATGACTACCGACACAACAAAGAGTCGGTGGCCACACCAACTGCGATCCGAAAGTATGACGACGCTGTTAAGCAGTCATCAAAGACAGCCCAGACGATGACAACGACAAAGCAAGTCGACCCTCCACGTTCGACTGCTGCATTGACACGGTTTTGGGTCTTCACAGTGGTTCTGCTCATCATATTCAAGGAAAGCACGAACTAGCGCAGAGCGAATCGGATCGCATCTCAATTCGCGAAGAGCATATTCTGGAAACCGCCAATGGTGATCGCACCGTCAATGAG